CCCCCCCCCTCCCTATGGCATGTCCTCTCTCTCTGTGTGTGTGTCTTTTGCGGTCCTTCTAATTAGCCAATTAGAGGCACAACACGGCACTCTCCCACACCATATCAACACACACTCTCCCCTGTCTGTCTGCATTCATATATTCGAGACAGCACAGCACAGACAACACAGCACGGCGGAGAGGGAGAGTGTTTGACACACACGCGTGTGTCTCCGCTTTGCTGAGTTGCAATTGTCTGGGCTGTGCTGTATTAAATATATGAATTGCACAGGCAGGGCAGGCAGGCAGACAGACAGGGGAGAGACCATGGGAGTGTAACTCTCTACGCTACGGCACACAGACAGACACACATACACACACGAACTGATGAGTGAGTGTCTTGGTCGGTCGGTCGGTCGTAGCATCAATCACATCGACGCGTGCGCCGGTCAGTTTACTTAAAGGGAGAGATGAAGCAACATTCAGCCATCATTACTCATTCACACGTACAGACACGCACATACACACAATTTCTAATGAGTGAACGTTTTGACTCGGTCAAACCCCCTTTGCCTTGTCGCACACCAACTCACTCATTCTCATCGATAGTGACTTCAGATGTTAACACAGACATAACGCTGAATTGATCACTCTCATCCTTGAGTTCATACACTGGCCAGGGCCATCCATGCCAGAGACAAGATCCATACGTACACAGTACATCCACAACCGTTAATCGATCTGTCCGTCAGTCACACGGCGCGCGCGTCTCGACAGTGTCCGGCAGACATTCCATCCACACGAGCAACACAATGATGGTCACTGTCGGCTTGTGTGTGGCGTGTTGCACACTGTTGGGTGTCTCCTCGGCGGCCCACCAGCGGCAGCAGTCCTTGGCGCCCGACGAGAGTGACGGGCGGGGCAATGTGCGACGAGGGCCGGGCGCCGACACCCAACGCGCCATCCCGCCAATGTACGCCATACAGCCACTCAGCCGATCAGCGAATGAGACAGACAGACAGACAGACAACCACTGTGTGTCTCTCCCTGTTTCTCTGTGTGTGTGTGATTGCATAGTTACACTGACGACACGGAGCCGCTGCTGCCGTCGGGTGGCCATCAGATCAACGCGACGGAGGGCCGCGTGACGGCCTCGGCGGCCTCTTCCTACCCCAGCCCCTTCACACACCCGGCCGACTGCAACCGACAGGGACTCCAGTACTCATGGTCAGACACACACACACAGACATCCCACGATGGATGGATGGATGGATGTGTGTGTGTGTGTGTGAGCGGGGTGTGTGACCCGGATCACTTGCTGAGTTACCAGGCGGCCGACTCACTCGAGCGCAAACTCATGTCGATCCGCACAACCGCACAACACACGTGCCAACACGACAACAGCAACAAACACACACGGCCGTTCCACATCGCCGTAACCAACCCCACACAGACACACACAGCGTGACACTCTCATGTCTCTCTCTCTCTGTCTGTCTCTTTGTGTGTGTGTGTGTCAGGTTGTGTTGGCGTCGTCTGTCGACCCGCCGGCCGATTTGCCGTCGGCCCGTCTCGTCCGCTTCGCGTCGGTGTTGGCGCATCGCTATGGACTGGGCAACAGCGGCTGCGGGGGCGACGGCATTGTGTTGGCCTTCGCCAGGCGGCCCACTCCCATGGCCGTCGTGGCAGCCAAACCGGAGGCAGCCAAGTACATCACACCCGCATTCGCACAACGACTCAACGACAAGAGCAAGGTCAGCAATGACTCACACAGAGAGGGAGAGAGAGACACATGAGAGAGAGAGAGACAGAGAGAGAGCCACGAGTGAGTTGATGTGTGTGTGTTTTGTGTCTTCAGCGGCTGTTCGCTCCGTCTGCGTCGGTGCCGATTGGCGAAGGGCTGGAGACGCTGCTGGACGACATGGCGGCTGTGCTGCCGTCGGTGGCTCGTCGTGGGGTGCCTGTGTGGCTGGTGATCGTGCTGACATTCCTTGGGGCGCTGCTGGTCTGTCTGCTCGTGGCCGTCTGTCTGAGCAACATCCAAATCCAACGCACGCTCCCATTCCTCAAAATGCCATTCGGCGGACGAAGCGACATACCGGTCAGCTAAGCTTTGGGATGAGTGAGGTGGCAGGTGTCTATCTGTCTGTCTGTCTGTCTGTGTGGTCATTCAGTCGTCCGTCGAGCCGAGCGAGTGAACGTCGATGGCCAACAGACAAGACGACACACACAGCGACAGAGATATGACAACAGGATGTGCGCGTGCATGGCTGTGAGAATGGACATACACACTTGCAATCGATTGACCAATACCAAACAATGAAATTGAGTCAGTGACCAGATCAATGTCGAGACACATACAGCAAGAACGACGCAGACGAACAGCAATCACACTCTCTCCCAAACTTCATCTACATGACGACCGACCCACCACAACCCTTTCGAGGCACGCCCAGGATTGGGCGTCAAAAACGACACGGCCGCACCCCCTGCACGCACACGGCCATCCAGGGGCCGAAGATCGTCACTTCACCAATAATACACGTACTCACTTCTCGCTATGTGCGGAAACTTGCGCTGTGTTCCATGACGGACAAAATCACAGGCAGACACACAACACATCAGGGTGGCAGTCACGGTGGTGTGAGCATGTGTTTGGTCCCTCACCCGTATCTCGTGGAACTCTCTGCAGCTTGGCTTCGGCCGATCCTTCGCGCGCTTGGCTTCCTCCTCTGTCACACACACATACAAAGCATAGCCACCATGGTCAAAGCGGCGTCGGTGCAGTGCCGTGCATTGCAGGGCGTGTGGGGCACTTACTGTCTCCTCTGTACTTGGCCCGTTGTATGGCCATGAGCATCGTCTGCTCCTCGTGGCCGCACTTGGCGCGCAGATCCTCGGCATAGTGGAGCTCAACCTGCTTCTCAAACTGCAAACAGATGCGATGAAGAGAACCAATGAATACATGGACATGTGCGTGTGCCCACGGCCCCTCTTGCTTACGTCTCTGAGTTTCCTGGACCCTCTTGGGTAGCTCTCGTGGAATGTCGTATCGACATAGTATTTCGCGCCCAGCCCCTGGGTCTTCCGCTCTATCGGAAAGCCCTGCCTGCGCAGCAAACTGAACTGGGGACGCTGAACGAACGAACGAGTGCACAAGGGAGGGAGAACGGTGAGCACCGGGCGGGCGCGTGGCCTTTTTACGTGTGTATGTCCCTCCCAGGTCACCTGGTGTCCGATAAAGCTGTTGGAGAGCAGCGTGAATGCGATGATGATCAGCACCGGCACCAGCTGAATCAGATTCAGCATCTGCTGACCACGACGCCTACACGCAGACAATCCAGGGCACAGACGTCGGATGAGTGGGGCATTCATTCATTTCATGCGCCTCCCCCCTCCCCCCTCCCTCACTCTTGTTCGGTGGAGGGCCCTCTTGATCTGAATCGGTAGACCCGCCCGCCCCGGTGGTGCATGGCGTTCATGCGATCAAAATCCATGCCGAAAAACGCCTGGAACAACTCCTGAACCAACCAACGAGTGGATGCCGCACACGCGCACGCACACAATGGCAGAGATGGATGTGGTGTTGATCAGATTTCATGCCGTTCCTCCTGACCTCAGGTGTCATGAACTCGGCCTCGTACTGCGTCCGATATGACTGGGGAACGTGCTCCTCGTCACCTGCAGCAGCACAGACGCATGACGATGCACGTGATGCGTGTGTGGGGGGGGTGTGCGGGGTCTTGCTGCTTTCCACCATACCGTATCGGTCGTATGTTGCTCGCTTCTCCTTGTCGCTGAGCGTCTGAAAGGCCTTGGATAGCTGAACACCACACAGACAGACAGACAGACAGACAGAGCATGGAAGCTGAGCTACGCTGCGCTTGTTCGGTGTTCACCTTCTTGAAAGCCTCCTCTGCGTGAGGCGCCTTGTTCTTGTCAGGGTGAAGCTGTAAAGCCATCTGCACACGCACCAAGACAACACACTTGCACTTGCCATGTATACCAATGGTATTTCCCTGTCTGCCTCGCTCGTTGGTGACCTTGCGGTAGGCCTTTTTGATTTGGTCCTCTGTCGAGTCTTTGGGTACGCCCAGCACCTCGTAGAAGTCCTTTGTCCTGAGGATCTTCTGACATTGGGCCACCTGCTCGGGCGTGTAGTTGCCGTTGCCATTCCCATTGCCATTGCCGCTCCCCCCAACCCCGTTCATGCTGCTGCTCGCAGTTGTTGATCCAGACGCTGGCTCGCTCCGCTGACGCGCCTGCACAGAGGGAGAGAGAAGCCGGATGGGTGCGCATCACATCAGTCAGTGTGTGTCTCGCTGCTCGGCGGTTTGCTCACCGGATGTGCTCCGGCGCCTTCGCCGGTGCCAGCTGACGAGCTGCTGGTGTCACTGCTGAGCTTGACCTGAATGGAGGAGATGAGGTTGGCTACCTCCTCTGTCGGGTACATCCGCTGCGCTTTCTCCAGGAACCGAAGCGCCTGGAACGACAGACAAACGGACATTGCCTCTCCATGTTCATCTGTCTGTCTTTCTGTCTGTTCGTCTGTCTGTCTGTCTGTCTGAGAGCGCACCTTGGAGAAGTCGCCGGACTGCATGGCTTTCATCGCCAGGTTCTTGCACTTGAGCGACTCGTCCCTGTTGCCCTCCATTTCTTCCCTCCAATCGGCTTCCCTCAGGCTCTCTCTGGCTCAATCAAGCCCTCAGAAGTGACTGTCGCTCGAAAAGTGAGACGACAAAAAGGAAAGCCAACCAACACAATCGGCCTGTCGCCGCCGCCACCACAGTTTTTCGCTTCTCTTCCTCACTGGAATCGCGAGCCTGCGAGCTTTTGACGTGTTGTTGCAGCTTCACACCGGCGCCACGTAGAGTCCCTGCCAGCACATCGCCAGGCTTGATCCACCTCTGTCGTTCATCGCGTGGATCCATCTGACTACCGACGATGCCGGTGCGCAGCCTGCAGGACCTCAAAGATGGCAAGGAGGAAGATCCTGACAAGAAGAAGACCACCTCGAGCTACACGGGCGGTGAGAAGTCCGGCCTGGCCGTCGAGAACCCCGAGAGCGAGGGCCAGCAGGGCGCATTCGGCGATGCCATGCGTGGCGAAGGCGAGTTGCCTCCGGGCCACCGGAAGGTGACGGTCTACAAGAACGGCTTCACCATTGACGACGGCGACTTCCGCGATGCGGCCGACCCGCAGAACGCCAAGTTCATCGAGGAGCTGCGCAAGGGCTTCGCGCCGCCCGAGCTGTCCATCGGCGCCGACGGCAACCACGTGCGCATCGCCCTGGTCGACAAGTCGTCCGAGGACTACGACCCCAATGCACCGGCTGGCGGCGGCTCGCCGTTCGGCCAGCCGACGCAGAACAGGCCGGCCGCTCCGCCTGTGGAGATGTTCACTGGCGAGGGCAGGACGCTCGGCGCCGGGCCGTCGTCGAGTGCGGCAGGTGATGTGAACGTCGACGCGGGTGCGGGTTCGGTGCGGGTGGACGATAGCAAGCCCAAGACGACCATCCAGTTCCGCTTCCACAACGGGCAGCGCAAGGCCGAGACCTTCAATGTCGACAGCCCGGTGGCCGTGCTGCACGACTACGTCATGCAGTGCGCGCCGGTGGACGGCGAGTACCAGCTCATCGCTGGCTTCCCTCCCAAGCCCATCACGAGCGACCCCAACACGACCCTCAAGGACGCCGGGCTCCTCAACTCACAAGTCACACAGAAACTCATCTGAAGCAAGACGGACACGGCTGAGGGAGGGAGGGAGGAGAGGGTGGTAGCCAGGTCAGTAGGTTTGCGGTCGGTGTATCTGCCTCGTTTTGTTGCGAGTGCTGCTGCTGCTGTAGGTGACAGACAAACGGACAGACGTGCAGAGAAGCGTGTTTTTGCGTGTTGGTGTTGGGTGGGTGTGTTGCGGCGGTTTAAATGAAGACAATGGATCGATGGATGGATGACTAGTGTGTGTGTGTGTGTAGCCAAACGACATCCGTGCTGCGCGTATGTGCGTGACGATACCAATTCAACACGTCGTCATTTGTGTTGCGGTTCATCTCACACGCAATCGATCACGAGTTTGTCCGTCCATTCTCACACCCATACACACACATCTGTTGTCATCTCTCTCTTGGCGGTCTCTGTGTGTCGTCTTGTCTGTTGGCCATCGACGTTCACTCGCTCGGCTCGACGGACGACTGAACCACCACACAGACAGACAGACAGACAGACACCTGCCACCTCACTCATCCCAAAGTGTGTAGCTGACCGGAATGTCGCTTCGTCCGCCGAAGGGCATTTTGAGGAAAGGCAGCGTGCGTTGGATTTGGATGTTGCTCAGACAGACGGCCACGAGCAGACAGACCAGCAGCGCCCCAAGGAATGTCAGCACGATCACCAGCCACACAGGCATCCCACGACGAGCCACCGACGGCAGCACAGCCGCTATGTCGTCCAGCAGCGTCTCCAGCCCTTCGCCAATCGGCACCGACGCAGACGGAGCGAACAGCCGCTGAAGACACAAAACACACATCTCTCTGTCTCTCTCTCTGTGTGAGTCATTGCTGACTTTGCTCTTGTCGTTGAGTCGTTGTGCGAATACGGGTGTGATGTACTTGGCTGCCTCCGGTTTGGCTGCCACGACGGCCATGGGAGTGGGCCGCCTGGCGAAGGCCAACACAATGCCGTCCCCGCAGCCGCTGTTGCCCAGTCCATAGCGATGCGCCAACACCGACGCGAAGCGGACGAGACGGGCCGACGGCAAATCGGCCGGCGGGTCGACAGACGACGCCAACACAACCTGACACACACACACACAAAGACAGGGAGACACACAGAGAGACATGAGAGTGTCACGCTGTGTGTGTGTGGGGTTGGTTACGGCGATGTGGAACGGCCGTGTGTGTTTCTTGCTGTTGTCGTGTTGGCACGTGTGCTGTGCGGTTGTGCGGATCGACATGAGTTTGCGCTCGAGTGAGTCGGCTGCCTGGTAACTCAGCAAGTGATCCGGGTCACACACCCTGCACACACACACATCCATCCATCCATCGTGGGATGTCTGTGTGTGTGTGTGTCTGACCATGAGTACTGGAGTCCCTGTCGGTTGCAGTCGGCCGGGTGTGTGAAGGGGCTGGGGCAGGAAGAGGCCGCCGAGGCCGTCACGCGGCCCTCCGTCGCGTTGATCTGATGGCCACCCGACGGCAGCAGCGGCTCCGTGTCGTCAGTGTAACTATGCAATCACACACACACAGAGAAACAGGGAGAGACACAGAGTGGTTGTCTGTCTGTCTGTCTGTCTCATTCGCTGATCGGCTGAGTGGCTGTGTGGCGTACATTGGCGGGATGGCGCGTTGGGTGTCGGCGCCCGGCCCTCGTCGCACCTTGCAACGCCCGTCACTCTCGTCGGGCGCCAAGGACTGCTGCCGCTGGTGGGCTGCCGAGGAGACACCCAGCAGTGTGCAACACGCCACACACAAGCCGACAGTGACCATCATTGTGTTGATCGTGTGGATGGAATGTCTGCCGGACACCATCGTGACGCGCCGTGTGACTGACGGACAGATCGATCATCGGTTGTCCGGACGCGTATACACACATACGTTTAGCATTTTTGTGTTTGTCTGGCAGAATGTAATATCGTGACGGACGTGTCGTGTGAGTGACTTGCAAGCAGATGATCAACAAGAAACACTCACCATGGTAATTGGCCCTGTCCAGTGTATGAGTGATTGAATGAGTGAATCAATGAATCCACCATCAAACATTGAGAGTGAGGGCTCATCCTCATTCATCATTCCTCGGTCAATTCAGCAATTTGCGTCAGGACACGTTGATGTCTTATATGTCTGCCAGCATATAATTTGCTGTCTCCAATGTATGAATTGCACAGACCCGCAGACAGGCTGTCTCATGCATATGTATATGAGTTGCACAGGCAGGGTTTGTGTTTGTGTGGTGTGGGTGAGTGCCGTGCCGCTCACGCCATTAATTCGCTAAGAGGACCGTACGAGAAGGCAAGCATTAATATTAGTCTTTGATCGATGAATGAGCAGAGTGCACTGGTCAGATATGAGACGACACGGACATGTCGAATATAAAATGCAGGCAACGATAACATTGGCCGAGGCCCTGGGACACACACACACATAAATAGAGACACACCGCCCCCACCTGCACTCTGCAACTCTCTGCCGTCGCGAAAACAGATGTGTCTCCGTGACCGCAACCGCTCTCGTGCAGGCTGCTGACTACCAGGTTGTTCTTCAACGCACGCTGAATCATCTCGTGGTCCGCATGTCTCTGCCGTGACGAAAGGAGGTGTGTCTCCGTGGCCGCGTCCGCTGCGTCTTCTCCGATTGGGCTGTTGTGGGCCGGTGCGCGCTGTGCATACAGATGTATGTGTCCACATGCATAGAGAGAGAGATGCATCCACACCATCATGCATCTTGCATACCGGCTCTGGTTTTCGTGGTCCGCAGCAGCAGAATCGTCCGAGCCAGCTCCAGAAGCTGCATATGGAATACAGATAACCAGAGGACACCTCATGTGAGCATACAGGCAACCACCAGACTTTCAAGAGCCAACGTGCTAGTCGTCTCGGTTGGCTGCGGCGGCTGCTCGGTGGGCTGCGGCGGCTGCATGGCGCTTGGCGTGGCCTCCCTTGAGGTGCCGGCTGTGTCCTTGACGACGACATTGAGTCGGTGGTCCTGGATGTGCTCCTTGGCGGTGGTGGAGCACAGGTCGCGGGCAGGCGTCTGGCTGCTCGTCGTGGGGGTCACCTGGACCAGAAACCGGTCGTTGGTGGGGAGACCGCCCTCAGCTGCACAACGGACAGACGCACAAAGGGGCACATACGCGTGTGCTGGTTGTGGTGTATGTGAGTGGTGTGTGTGTGTGCTCACCTGTGGCCTTGGGTTGCATGATGATCTCGACGATGGCATCGCCCCGGGGGCTGATGACACCCGAGCTCGGCCGCACCAGGTAGCTGCATGAATGACACACACCACGTGTGCACTGCACTGCACTGCATCCACCACACCAACCACGTGCACTGCACTGCATCCACCACACCGCTGTTGCCTTGCATGGTTGTGTGTGCGTGTGTGCGTACCTGCGTGGGGCAGTCGTCTTGATCTTGTATGCCAGGTAGCCGACAGACACGTTCGTCAGCTTCAACACCGCCACACGGCTCGTCGGGAACTCGATCGTCTTCTGCGCGAGGATAACGCACAGATGTATCATATGGATGCCCTCTTCACACACGAAGAGTATGCGGACGGACTGACCGGAGGGCTGATGGTGTCAAAGGCGCGGTCCTGACCAAAAGTCAAACGAACGAACAACCCACACACAAAGAGGAGACATCCAGAGCGTGAGCATGCTTTCTTGCCGTCTTGTAGCCCTACCAGCATCAAATCCAGGACGGCTTTCGCCGTCTGAATCCCCTCTGGGCGGCCTCGCAGCTTCAACAGCACCCTGAACACAGCCAAAGCACAGCCAAACAACATTAAGGTGTTCATCGAGGCAGTCTGAGTCTGCTGACTGGGCGTCGTCGAGTTGCCCGATCTCCGTCCGGCCCAGGTGCTGCTTCTGCAGCTGCTGGAAAGAGAGGGGGATGAGCCTCTCCTCCGTCGCTTGGCCTCCCTCGTCCTGAAGTGTAATACAATGGTCATAGAGAGAGATAGAGAGAGAGAGACATCACATGCATGTGTCCATCTTGCATACCGGCTAAAGCTTTCTCGGCCCGCAGCAGAAAGAGTTTCCCAACCAACTCCACTAAACTCCATAAACTGTGTGTGGAATACAGATAACCAGAGGACACCGCTTGTGAGCATACAGGTGACCACCAGACTCTCAAGGCCCAACCTCTTGGCGGCTGTCTGTGGTGGTAGCCTCCTGAGGGGCTGGGGGTCTCCTCGAAGGCGACATTGAGATGGTGGTCCTGAATCACCTCTCGGGGAATGGTGGGCCACTCCTCGTAGGCGGGGGTCTGGCTGCTGCTGGCGGGAGTGACCTGCACCAGGAATCGGTCGTTGATCGGGAGTCCACCTACATCAGCAATGCATTCAGAAACACACAACACAACGAACAGACACACAAAGGAACGAATATGCGTGTGGTGGTTGTGGTATGTGAGTGGTATGTGTTGGCTCACTGGCGGCGTCGGGGTTCAAGATGATCTCCACCTTGGCGTGGCCCCGAGGGGCGATGATGCCCGACCTCGGCCGCACGGTGTAACTACATCACACACACATGCGTCCATGCATGCAAACTCTTTCTGAATGGAAAGACTTTTGTCTTCTGGAGGACGACACACAGGACAACACAAACAAAGTCACAGAGATGTATCATAGTGCGCCCTTCTTTAAGATGTTAGATTTTCCGCCTCTGGTCCTCGCCACAGGTACGCGTTGAGACCCACCACTAGGCCTAAGAGACACAGGATTTCTCTTCCCCTTTTTCCCGTGTATCCCGCACCTCACCATCGAGAAAGTCGAGGCTGTCGTCCATGTCCCTTTGCATGATCCACGAAGCCCCGTGATCCTCAGAGACACTTCATACATATGAAAGAACGTAGCGCCGATAGAGTGACACCGCCCCACTCACCGAGGCAGCCGCATCCCCTGACAGGGAATGTCATGAGACAAGAAAGTGCTTTTATCGCTTCAGTCTTTTGCCTCCGACCAGTGTGCTTGACTCTCACCGCGTGCGGCATGGACCAGAAGGCGCTGACTCTATGAGTCTCGTATGTGTTCAGCACATACTTAGCAACGAGCAGAGCAGCAGACAGCTCTCGGCGACGCTTGTATAGCTCGACAAAGAGACTCTCCGATATAAAATGTAAGCAGCAATCTTCGCACCCCAAGTTGTCCTTCAGGGCACTCTTCATCATCTCCATGTCTGCGCCGCTCTGCTGTCTCGTAAGTGGGCTGGTGTGGGCTGGCGTGCGCTGGACATACAAATATACATATGTAAATGCACACACACACACACACAGAGAGAGAGAGAGAGAGATAGAGATAGACGTGCATCCAAGACAGCATCCATACAATCATCATGCATCTTGCATACCGGCTTCATTCTCGGTCCGCAGCAGCACAACTTCCCCAGCCAGCTCCAGAAGCTGTATATGGAATACAGACAACGAGAGGACACCTATGTGAGCATACAGGCAACCACCAGACTCTCAACACCCAACCTATATGCATACGTGTCCTCGGCGGGTGGTGGCGGCGGCTGCATGGCGGCGGTCTCAGGACGGCGACATGGAGATGGTGGTCTTGGATCACCTCCCGGGGGATGGTGGGCCAGTCGTCGTAGGCGGGGGTCTGGCTGCTGCTGGGGGGGGTGACCTGCACCAGCAATCTGTCGTTGGGTCCACCTACATCAGCAATGCATCCAGACACACACAACACAACGGACAGACACACAAAGGGACGGATATGTGTGTGGTGGTTGTGGTATGTGAGTGGTATGTGTTGGCTCACTGGCGGCGTCGGGATTCAAGGTGATCTGCACCTTGGCGTGGCCCCCAGCGGCGATGATTCCCGACCTCGGCTGCACGGTGTACCTACATCACACACACACCTCCATGCATGCAAACTTCTTATGAATAGTTGCCTGTGCATCTGTGTTGGCATACGTCTTGGGAGCGGTGGCCTTCAGCTTGTAGGCCAGATAGCCGGCGGAGACATTGGTGATGTTCAGGGCAGCCGTCCCCGGTGCACCCCCCTCGCTTGCCACAAAGTCCAGTGTCCTCTGCAACACACAAATACAGCAGGATGTATCATATGGATGCCTTCACACACAATATGCGGACAAACTGACCGGCGGGTCCAACGTGACGAGGGCAAGGTCCTGAGCAGAAGTCAAACGAACAACCCACACACAAAGAGGAGACATCCAGAGCGTGAGCATGCTTTCTTGGCGTCTTGTAGCCCTACGAGCAGCAGCAGATCCAGTACGTCTGTCGCCCTCTGGACCCCCTCTGGGCGGCCCCGCAGCTTGAGCAGCACCCTGAAGACGACCAAACCACAGTCAAACAACATTAAGGTCTTCATCGACACAGTCTGAGTCTGCTGACTGGGCGTCGTCGAGTTGGCCAATCTCCGTGGCACGGCGCAGGTGCTGCTTCTGCAGCTTCTCGAGCTGCTCGAGAGAGAGAGGGACAAGCGTCTCCTCCGTCTGTTGGCCTCCCTGGTCCTGAAGTGTGACACAAGTTATCATTTGGGTCCCTTCCCGTCCCATCCCGAATCGGATCTGATCCACCACTTACGCGAGGGGGGTGGCCCTTATGGCCTGCTGCTGCTGCTCATGCCGCTGCTGCTGCTCCTGCGGCTGCTTCGTCCCCATCGGCTTGCTGGCTGGTGGGTGGCTGGCTGGGTGGCTGGGTGGCTAAGGGGGTGGGTAGCTGGGTGAGTGGGCAGGCGGGAGCACGTGGGTGGCTGGCGTCTGGTGGGTCGGCGGCTGCCTCCTGCTTCTGAATCACCTCGGCCCCCACCTCAGCCACACACGGATCTGCTTTGCCAAAGAAACTCTCAAATATAAAATGTAGGCAGCAATCTTCGCTCTACTCCGGTCGTCAGGAACTCTATCGTCCTCTGCAGAGGACGACACACAAACAAAGCATAAATAAGTCATGTTATATCCATGGGCTCTTCTTGAGATGTGTTGGTGCCCTTGCCAGGCCGACTGACTGGGGGGTTAATGGTGACGAGGGCGCTGTCCTGGGCAGAAGTCAAACGAACAACCCACACACAAAGAGGAGACATCCAGAGCGTGAGCATGCTTTCTTGCCGTCTTGTAGTCCTACCAACAGCAGCAGATTCAGTACGGCTTTCGCCGACCGGATCCCCTCTGGGCGGCCCCGCAGCTTCAGCAGCACCCTGAACACAACCAAACCACAGCCAAACAACATTAAGGTGTTCATCGAGACAGTCTGAGTCTGCTGACTGGGCGTCGTCGAGTTGGCCGATCTCCGTCCGGCCCAGGTGCTGCTTCTGCAGCTCCTGCAGCTGCTGGAAAGAGAGGGGGATGAGCCTCTCCTCCTCTCCTCCGTCTGTTGGCCTCCCTGGTCCTGAAGTGTGATGCAAGTTGTCATTTCAGTGCCTTCCTGTCCCATTCCGAATCGGATCTGATCCACCACTTACCGCTGTAGGGATGGCCCTCGTGGCCTGCTGCTGCTCCTGTTGCTGCTCCGACTGGTCCGTACAAATGACAGAAATGGCAGAGGTTCTCCGCACAGGCCATGCTGGTCCATCCATATATTTCTCCATCACCTACTTTAGCGGAGGCTTCGCGGAGTCGGAACGGCTTCACGTCGCTTTGTGGTCACCCTCATCAACGAGGAGCTTCACGTGAATGTTGTCCTCCAGAAGAGAGCATCATTGAGACAGCCCTTAAGGCTGATGTGGGTGCCAGGGTAATTGCATCCACAAACCACGGCCTTCTTGCCAGGCATCGTCAGTCAGTCGGGGAGAAACAGACACGAAGTTTCTCCGAGTCGTAAAGGGGTGGGGGGGGTTGGTGGGTGGGTAGGCGGACGGGTGGGAGCACGTGCGCGTCGTGGGGTCGCTCTTTCTTAGGAAGAGGCTCTCTCTCCGACACAGGAAGTAGCTTTCTTTTACTTTTGGGAAGTAGTAACTGAAAGGGGAGGCGAGCCTGAGCAGGGGTAATTGTTCAGGCGTTCCATTGCGCAGGCGGAAGCTCGAACAAGGGGAACGGCGCGGTGGCGCCGTTCCTTTTTTCTGGGTGATGGAGGTTGCCCGCATCTGTGTCGGCCATGTTTGGAGGAATGTTTAGCTTGCCCGTCAGCGTCGTTGCCCGCATCTGTGTCGGCCATGTTTGGAGGAATGTCCAGCTTGCCCGTCAGCGTCGTTGCCGAAGGGCAGCCGACCGCACCTACAGACACGCAAAGCCGTCCGTGTCAGCACCCAGAAATCGACCGTACTGTACGGCCGCATGCATACTTACATGAAGTGATAGAGACACACGCCGAGTGCCCAGTGGTCGGCGGTGAGGGTGTAGCCCTTGCCCAAAGGGATTTTTAATTTTTTCCTTTTTTCTCCGTCTCGCCGTCTCCGTCGTTCTCGATTCTCCAGGTGCTGCTTCTGCAGCTTCTTGAGCTGCGGGAAAGAGAGGGAGGTGAGCCTCTCCTCCTTCTCTTGGCCTCCCTCGTCCTGATGTGTGATACAAGTTGTCATTTCAGTTGTACAATTCCGAATCGGATCTGATCCACCACTTACGGCTGGCGGGATGGCTCTCGTGGCCTGCTGCTGCTCCTCCTGCCGCTGCTGCTCCGACTGGTCCGTACAAATGACAGAAATGGCAGAGGTTCTCTGCACAGGCCATGGACATATTTGTCCATCACTTACTTTAGGGGAGGCTTCGCGGGTCGGAACGGCTTCACGTCGCCTTTTTGGTGACCCTCCTCTTCAACGAGGAGCTTGACGTTGGCAGCGTCAAATCCGAACTTCTCGGTCAGCGCTTCCCTCCAGAAGAGAACATCATTGACACAGCCCTGAAGGCCGATGTGGTTCTCAGCGTAATTGCAGGCGGAAGCTCGAACAAGGGGAACGGCGCCATGGGAACGGCGCGGTGGCGCCGAGGCCGACTCAGATACAAGAAACGGCGGAAACAGACGGGCTTCTTTCCTGTCGGCGTGGGTGATGGCTGCGCTATCGGCTGCGCACGTGAGTCGCGGCGGTGGGAACCGCAGGAGCGAAAGCGGGAACGCGGGGAAAAGGGCAGCGTGGAAAGGGATTGCTAGTTCTTTTTCTTTTTTCTCCGTCTCGCCGTCTCCGTCGTTCTCGATTCTCGACAATGTCATTGAGAACAGTTCTTCTCGTATGTAAATTGAACGATAGGGGTGGGAACAATACACAGTCAAATTAGAAAGACCGTGTGTACGTTGTGTCTGTGGGCGTCGTGTGGCCGACTGGAAAAATGCCACAGCGGAGGATCTCAGTGCCTCCCGGATGTGACCGTTCGCCAGCCTCCAGGCAACGCAGCTCGCCTACGCAGGTGGCTGCCCGCATCGCTGCAGCGTTCCAAGGAGGATGAAGAACGGTCACATCCGCAAAACCCCCATGCAAAGTCGAAGACGGATGCTGCTCTATCTGTCCTTAGCCAGCGACAACACAAAACGCCCACGTGTGCATGGAACAGCCAAAAAGCGAAACCAAAGGGCGAGAGGCACACAGACAGCAGGGAGGGGCGTCAGTCAGTGAGTGAGTGGTGGGCGGGGAGGGATGGACACACGCACTGACACAGCAGACATGTACAAGTATGTTACAAGGCACGCACACGCAAAGCATCCACCGCACGCAGCCGAGCCTGTGTGTCCTTTCAAAGGACCATAAACAGCCGTGGCACAAGGGCGTCATCCAGCATTTCTTTTTGTCTCCTTCATTGAGCAGGCCAGGCCGTTCACGAAAAAGGACACCTGCCTGCCTGCCTGTCTAGTTACGCATGGCATTGCATGTATTGTACACGTGCACCAGCAAGCCCTCGCCCCCCTCCCTCTCAGCACCACCGCACAGAAAACACCCCACCAAGCACTCAATCACCAACCCAGTGAGCCGGTCAGCCGCCAACAAACAAAACAAAACAATCTGTTGTTTGTGACAATCAGCCGGCCACACAGGGATTTAAACGCCCCTCCCACCCACCACCCACCACACACTATGACTCTTCCTCCTTATCTCCCTCCGAACTATCAAACAGCCCATCCCATGAGAACGATATTCCCCTCGCCCCACCAGGACCCTCCAGCCCCTCACCCACGCTCAGCGCACCAGCGGGGGTCGCAGAAGCAGCCCTTGCCTCTGCGGCCTCCAGCGCGCCTGGCGGGGCGTCCAAGACCGACTTGGCCGCGAGGTTGGCGTTGTCGCCGCCCAGCTGCTGCAGACAGAGCTTCCATATGGCTGGAGACTTGTCGGAGGAGGAGGGCTGTTTTGGGCCGGGGGGAAGGCTCCAAATGAGGTCGGTGGAGGGGGCGGCCACCACCCACCATCCCAGATTGACTTCCTGCTCCAGCTGACCGGGCGCCCTGCAGTGGAATACACATGGGCACATGAATTGGAACGCGCCTGATTCGTGTGTGGGTTGCGTGCGTGTGGCTGACCATGCGGCGAACTGCAGGAAGAATCTAAAGTCGTTGGGAGACGCCTTTTGGTTCCTGATCCTCTCGGCACACGCATGAGGATCGCCGCCTTGATAGATGCCCTTGACAACCTCCTGCACGCACGGGCACACACACGTCCGCGGCACACGGATGGATGTGTTGCCCGCCCGCCACGCACATACGCACCTTGGCCTCAGGAATGTCTTTGCAGCTGTGCAGCAGGATGACGTCATTGGTCCCCACAGGCCCGCCATAGCACAGCCAGCAGTCCTGGAACTCGCGAGGCGCGTCTGTCTGGTGACCAAGCTGGAACAGAGGCTGAACAAGACAACCAAGCATCACACACAACACATGGATGCACGCGTGCATGCATCGGCATGTGTGTGTGCCTGAGGGGGGGGAAGAAAGGCTCACGTAGTTGAGTATGACGCCGACGCTGCCCAGGTCGGGGTCATGGGAAAGCACCAGCACGACCGAGTGGTCGAAGCAGTCGCCATTAAAGCGGGCTCGCGGCGAGGCCATCAGCAAGCACCCCTTCTCCACATTCTCCAGAGAATGGATCCACCCCGATCCCTTCATCAGCTGCATGTTCTTGCTGTTCTGCTCGAACCGCCCCTGCGACCCAGCCACCAGCCGCGCCCGAAACTCTCGCCAGTCAGAAGTGGACGGGTTGATGGCCGGCACGAACAGCTGCTTGCTCTGCGCGTTGGCCTGGCTGCCTGCGCCGTTGCTGCCGCCCTGGTGCTGACCGCCTCCAAACCACCTGGGATTGGGCTTATTGGCGTCGGATTCGCCGCCAGACGAGTCGGCGGGCGGCTTGGTGGAGCCGGGCCACCGAATGCCGTTGAGAGCGACACGCGAGTGAGATGTGGGATGCCTCAGTAGGTCTCTGCGGAAGGGCCGCCTGCTGTCGTGTGTGGGGAGGGGGTGGCGGGCGGCGTTGTGGATGAATGCTCGGCTGCCGGGGAGGGTAAAGAGCGCGACAAAGAGGGCCAGCAGAGAGGGGATGAGGACGGCCGTCAGCATGGTGGCCGAGATGGTCAAAAGAAAGATAGAGGCAGTAGTGGGGTACAGAGGGGACCCTGGAGGAGCTCCTTGCGCCAGATCTCTCCCACTTCGTTGCGGGCTTGAGCTCGCAAGTGGCGCAGGAAAAAGTCCCAGGAAATCAGGACCTTTCATGCCTTCAGAAGGTAGAACACGTGACAATGAAGCCCTCAACACTGACCTGAGTGAATCTTTATGAATGGCTTTGTTGCTGTATTGTCGGCAGATGACGCACGGCCTGCAATCGTCTGTTGTGTAGGCGAGAACAGACCGGGAGATCATCAGCAGGTAAGCCGCACGCAAGTGCAGCCGCTTGACGCATGCATGTGTTGCTCTTTCAGAATCTGTCTTTCTGCAGCTGGGGCGTCGCTGTCGGCACATGGACAGCGACAGCCTGACCGAGCATTCGATTCTGTCGCACTTGCACGTGCCAGTGGTGCGCCTGTGCGAGAGCCTCAAGCCGCTGGAGCAGGAGATCATCGCAATGCAGGAGAGCGTCGAAGGCTGCATGCACACTCACGGCATCGCTGACCCATCAGCGGCCTCGCCTGACGACGTGCTGCAGCTGAGTCTGGGCGGCACCGAGCGGCGGTTTGTGCGAAAGCACCTGACGGAGGGAGAGGGCGTGGAGGGGACTCTGCTGGGGGCGCTGTTCTCTGGGAGATGGGATGGCTTATTCATCGAAGACGACAGTCAGCGGATGTTCCTTGATGTGGACGCGGATGCCTTCAGGATCATCCACAAGGCCATCTTGGAGGGGAGGGCTGTCCAGCAGGCGACACGCGATGGCGGGCGGGATGGGTTCTGGATCTCTCATCTGCTCACCGAGGCGGAGAAGCGTCAACACAAAGGCACGATGGACAGCCAAAGTCCAGGGCCAAAGTGCTCGTATCGGGATCTTGCATGTGTGTGTGTGTGTGTGTGCGAGCAGGTCTGCATGACTTCTGGATCAAGAAGCTCCTCTCGTCCATCAACCTCAGCCAGACACCTGCCGGCAAGGGTGAGCAGCTGCCGGCGGTCAGGCAGCCGCCATCGGTGCCGGCGGAGGGCATCCCCAGCACGGCCAGCGGACTCGTCACGGCCCTCAATGACGTGCTCAAGGCCTACCACGACAAGAAGAGCAAGCTCGAGGGAGAGCTTGGCGCAGAGAAGATCCGATACGAGCAGCTCATGACCGAAGCAGAGGTGACATGACAAGGGTGCTCAAACGGAAGGCAACAGGCAGATCTCTACATCTCTCTCTTTGTCTCTCTCTCTCTCTCTCTCTCTGTGTGTGTGTGTGTGTGTGTGTAATCAGGCAGTCACGCCGTTTCTGCGACCTGTGAGTGGCGATGAAGTGATTCGCTCCGTGGAGATGTGCGGAGAGACAATAGCCACCACACAATCGACCGTCGACGAAATGAGCGACAAACTTCGGAACCGCATTGATATGTGAGCAAGCCTTGGAAAGAGACAGAGCACCCAGGCACATATGCTGCGCGCGTGTGTGTCTGTGGTATCAGGTGGTCCAGGCCAGTGGAGGACGTCCCGCCCGACCACATGAGTCGGCTGGTCGACCACTATCGCCGCAAACGGCTCGGCGCCTCGCCCGATGAGGCGGGTGTGCCGCTGACGATGACCGACACTGTGGCGGCGCAGAGGGCCTTTAGCATCAACGCCGACATGTATGGCGTCAAGACCGACGGCAGACCCACCGCTCTTCTCGTCGAGACCAAGTGAGAGGGAGGAGAGAGAAGGGCTCCCGCCTTAACTGCAAACGCTCCGTCGTGCTGTGCCTGCTATGTTTGTTCCTTTTCATATGCAGCGCTGCCTTCATCCGGTTCCCGTCCGGCACGCGCCACCAGGTGGTCGCACGGGGCAGCGGCGAACCGCCGTCTCGCGAGCAGACGGTGAGGTACGACATAGTGGGGTGGGCCGATGGGTTCGACGGCGAGGACAAGATTTGCGAGGGGCTGGGCCAGGAGGGCCGCGTGGGCGACATGGGGGATATGAACGAGTGGCGTCGGGAGGCGATCCTGTCGATGTGTGTGGGGGAGGTGCGGCGTCTGCTGGTGCCGGGCAAGGTGTATTCCGCTGGGGAGGACAGGTTCATCGAGCTGCGGCTGCTGGCTATCATCTGCGGCTGCTGGCTATCATCTGAGTGACTCGTGTGTAAGATGGACCTGCCGTTTGTGTCCTTTCCTCTGCTTTCTTGCCTTTTATCGATTACATGCCCTCAGTTTTGCGGTGATGGATTTCTGTGGAGGCCAGCCCCTTCATTGAGTGTTTTGATTCATGTGTATGCACAAAGGACAACGGACGTCAAAATGTGAAGATCGATCGATCTCGATCGAAAACCACAAAACCTATGCTCCAAAATCTCAAGAAGAGGATTCTACACACACTACACACAGACTACACACTACACACCGCACACGCATATACACGGCAGCACTATATAGCTTACACAGACACCCCTCACTCACTGCCCCTTGTCCTTCTCTGTCCCCTCCCCTGCTCTCTCGTCGCCCCGGCTGCTGCTTGGCGCCAGCCTCTCTCTCAGAAGTCAAAATACAACACCACAGATGACGCCAACGCAGCAAGAGGCGCCCCCAGCTGCACAGATAGCGACACACGACAGACAGATGTGTGTTCGCACTGTGCGCGGTAATTCCCTTGATGGACTGATATCAGTCACTGACCATGTAATAAGTGGCAATGCCCGCGGCAATCACGCCAGTGGCCTTGGGGTTGTTCCGGAGCGCATACCCTATCGCCAGCTGAACGGTCAGCGTCCCCACAGCCCCGCCAAGCACACCACTGGCGAACGACCGGAAGGGCACACCAGTGAAGCCACACACAAGGGCTATCGGATACCTGCCACAACACCACACACATTGCTTCTCGCCTCGTCCATGCATCTGGTTGATGCGCCCGTCTAAGCGCACCTGACGCCGACCATCCACCGCTGCACGAAGCCCACGGCGCCGCCAGACGACTGCACCCGCCGCAAAGCCCTCTCCCAGAGGCTGTTCTTGGGCGGCCAGCCGTCGCCATGGTGAGGGAATATGCGGTGCTTGATGGGCTCCAGAAGGCCCCTCTCGAGCGCCACGCCGATGGAGTAGGTCAGCATGTCGCTCACAGTCACACCTGACGTCAACAGACGGACGTGACGTGGGTGGGCTGTCCGCCCGTTTTCTCTTGTTGTGTGGTTGTGTGTGTGTGTGCCTGCGTAGAGTGTGGCGACGGTCGCGACCCGTTTGCTCCACGAGCTTGGCTGTGGCAGCAGCGTCCCCACAAAGATGCACAGCGCATCCTCAGACACAGGGATCCTGCAATCAATTGAGGATGGCCAACACACACACGACATCAACCCATTGCTCCGTCCTCGTCTGCCCTCCCACCCTGGGCCACCCAGCCCCCTTCTCACCCGATTCCCGCAGCCATGAGATAGAGAAAATAGCAGGGCACGGGCACAGTCGAGGCCCTCTCGAGCAGCTCAGGTATCGACCATGGCAGCTGCAGCTGCGGCAGGGCCATCATCCTCACAACGAGGCACGGGCTGACGTGTGACGCACAGGGGCTCTGTGATGAAGACGCATACGCATCTATCAGTGGAGGCCTTGGCCGATGAGGTGCGGTGAAGGCCGTCACACGGAGCGGCGGAAGGAGGAAGCCGAACAGGAAGAGAGTCCTCAGGATGAATGAGGCCGAGCCACGCTGACTCTGGTTGCGATGCTGATGCTGATGCTGCCGAGATGGAAAGGCCCTCCTCATATCGCTGCTTGAAGTTCTCGCATCCTCATAGAATAATTCCACACATGGTGCCGGGATCCAGCAGATCTTGGATGGAAACGTGTTCAGCAGTCACCGAACCACCGATTGTGAGGCTTCCTTCGGTCCTCCGCCAAGCTCGCGGCTTTTTTTTGGCGAGAGGGAGCCCTAACTCCATTCGCGCAGATCTGGACACCAAAGAAAGAGACGTTCGGCATCTCACAGCTATCGCCACGGCATCGCATCTGCATCATGTGACACAAAGCCGTCCTTCCCATCGCATGAGCCCTTCCTGTCGTTCGAGAGGTGCCCTCCCACCCGCAACCACCGCGCTCGCGTGACCACCCGCAGCGCTAGTCGTGTCCATCGCATCTGTGGATCGCATCATGGGCAACCGGTGCAGCAAGCGAGGCAGCTTGGGGCAGATGGGCACTCCCCCTTCTGTCCACGAAGGCGCAGCGGCAGCAGACAGGGCTGCCGACCTCGACGCCATCCCCACTGGGTAGGGAGCAAAGCCGCGACACGCTCCATGCATCCGTTGTGGGGTTTTGTGCCTGTGTGTGTGTGTATCATGATCAGTGTGGTGATGAGCATTCTGGACTTCATCTCCAGTCCGGACCAGGAGGTTTTGAAGGCGGCGCTGGTGTGCCAGGCGTGGGAGGAGGCCTCCCGCAACTACCACACCCTACACATCATGGGCCTCAACCAGCTCCACAGGCTGCTCACCATGCCCTCACAACCGCACAGGCGATTCGTCAAGCGGACCAGCCTCCCTCTAAAGACGACCAACCCCATTCCCACCACCAGCCCCACCAACACCCCAGCAGATGACCCTGACCTCCACCAGCAGCAGCAGCAGCAGGGGAAGGAGCCAGAAGCCGACAGCGAGCTACCCTGCTCCCTCCCCATCGCACTGAGAAGCATCGACGGCCCAGGTCGCGGCTTCAGTCGTGCGTTGGCCGTGCGGACGCTGCACATAGAGCTTGGCAAGGAGAGGGAAGGGGAGAGGGGCAGGGGGGAGAGGGAGAGGCGGCTCGGCAGGGGAGCGGTGCGGTGGAGCGGGTCGTGTCCCAGCCCGAAGGACCGCGTTGGTGGCGTGTGTGGTGGTGGTGGTTCGCTTAGCCGTGCCGAGAAGATGCGGGAGTGCCGGGGGAGGCTGGGACGGTTTATCCGGCACTTCCACAAGCTGGAGGTAAGGAGTGAGTCAGTCAACGAGTGAGGCCCGGCCCCAGCTGCAACACACTGACTGATGGGCATGTACTGCATTGCTTGTTGTGTTGTGTGTTGCTGTCTGTCAGACGCTGACCCTCACGAGCATCCCCCCCGCCCTCCTCCCGCCCTCCGACTTCAATCGCACCCTCGCAAAGAACGCCCCCACTCTCTCCAGCGTGAGGCTGCAGCTGCTGGGCGACCCCGTCAGGCCATCCCACCCCTTCCCCATGCTGCTCGCACGCCCCGCCCCGCCACCGTACACCGTCCCTGCCCGCGAGTTCCCCCACCTGACGCACCTGTCCCTCGCCCACGAGACGGCCGCCAGCTCGATGGCCTGCACCACCGATGACGACGACAACGACTCCGAGAGCAAAGTGGTCGCCGTGAGGAGGAGGCGGCAGAGGAAGAGGCTGAGGCGGGAGGGCCTGTTAGAAAGGTCCGAGTCGCTTACCAGTGGCAGCGATGAGGACACGAGCAGCGAGGAAGATGATGACGAGCAGCCGACGTCGTCATCGGCAGCATCAGCGGCATCAGCGGCATCGGCGAGTTCGGTGTCCACCCGCCCCACACTGACACCCACCCCCCGCTCACCGCCGTCGCCCACCTCCCCCACTGCTCGCGGCAACGGCGCCTTCGCCTTCTCGTCTGGCGCGCGCCTGCGGTCTCTTCGTGTGCTGGACCTCGTGTGCCGCAGCAGCTGCAGGCACTGCTGCGGCGGCGCGGAGCACCTCCTGGCCGACGCGCGACACCTGGAGGAGATCTTCCTCTTCTCGCCCGCAGAGCTGCACGCACTTGAGTGCCAGCGGTTTCTCGAGAGGTCCCGGCTGTCGCTCAGACGAGTGTGCCTCTGCTGCTCGCTCGTCAACGATGCACCGGCATCGCCGGCGGACCCTCATGCCGTGGGAGTGTCTGTCACCCAGGCGGCCCCGCCATCGCCCCCCTCCGCCCCCCACAGCGCACCGGCCTCGCCCCCATCCTCTCTCGCAGCAGCAGCAGCGGCAGAGGAGAACGACGACGACACACCCACAGCAGCCACAACAAACCGCCGGGAGCGGAGGGTGACCTTCGCGCCGCTGCCGACGGGCAGTGGGGGCGGGTCATCGCCGTCATCGCTCATCGGGGGGTCGACGAGGCTCACGCGTGTGCGTGTGTACCGGAAAGCCATTCCGGTGTTCCCCGCGTGCGATTTCCCCAAGCTGGAGGAGCTCGGCTGGGCCGCCAACAGCACCTTCCCACCATTCTACGCCTTCCACCCGGCCTTCAAGTGCGCCAACCTGAGTGACCTGCGGCTGTGTGTGAACCTGCCGTGGGATGTGGTGCTGGAGGGCGGGCAGGTGGAGGGCCTGGCGCCGCTGTACGCTCAGGCGCTGCTGTGTCTGGCGCCGCGGCTGAGGGCCACCATCGACACGCACTTTGCCTTTCTGAGGCACCTGACCAAACTGACCACGCTCGCCGTTGGTAAGCAGGATGCCTCAAGAGAGACGGGGGGGGGGAGGGGGAGAGGCGTGTGTGTGGATGTGATGTGATTGATGTGCTGTGGTGTGACTGGGTTGTTACTGCAGGTGGCGACTTCAGCTATGTGGAGGGCTACCAGCAGTGGGTGGGCCACGTGCTGCACAACCTGCCGGCCTTCTTCTCCGTCCAAGAGATCATCCTCGCACCCGTCCGCAGACCCATGCTCGAGTCCCTCATCGAGACCGCCAGGCAGCTGCAGGAACAGAGGGCGCGCGACAGAGCCGCCAGGAGGGCCAGCATGGCCGCACTCGCGACACCCCCATCCGCTGCCACTACCACCAGCACCACGGCCCCCACCAGCGGCAGCGGTGCGTGTGTGCGTCATCACCACCACCACCACCATGGGGCCAAGGGGAGGGAGAGGGAGAGGGATCAGCATGTGGACGGTCCGGCGTTGCAGACGCTGCTGGCGTCCAACGGGTGGAGGGAGAGCGACGGCTTCACACAGGAGGTAGGTACAGCCCTACAGACACAGATCGAGGGAGGCAGGCCATCGAGTTGAAGGGGGCTGGTGTACATGTGTGTATGTCTCTGTTGTGTGTGTCTTCTTTGCGTTGTGTGTGTGTGGTTTGTCAATTATCAGATATCGACGCAGCTGGGTCGTCAGGTGATGGAGGTCTTCCCCAACCTCCGATCCGTCAACCTCCACGTCTCATCTTTCGGTACACGCGCCCCCACTCAACACACCCACCCACATGCCCCCACCTCTCTCTCTCTCTCTCTCTCTGTGTGTGTGTGTGGGTCCCTGTGGTCTCCTAGACGCCATCTTCCCGATCGACGCGACGAGCGAGGTGAACCTGAAGGCCGTGGAGAGGATGCTGACGCGTCAGGGGTTCCGCCGATGGCGCGGGCACAAGGACCGAGCCTGGAAGAAGGACACCGTGTCGCCCGGCGGGAAGGGCAGCAAGCGCGATGGGATGCCGGGGGGCAGCATGGGCGCCTGTCTGGGCAGCATCTTCCAGCACATCGTCACGGGGGTGTGTGCGGGCACTCCTAGGGCATAGAGAGACAGGTGTTGGCTGGTTGAGGGATTCGAGATCTCCTCCCTCCTCTGCTCTCCTCTGCCCGCCTCTCTGTGTGTGGCGTCCGTCGGTTAGGTCAAGCCAGTCGCTTTAGTTTATGTGTGTAGTTTATTACCATTATTGTCGAACGAACGAATGCGTAAGGGCCTAAGTAAGGGCTGCGTCGCATGCCATGCCATCCATGCGACTCGCTCTTCTGCTTCCTGCTTCTTGCTTTCTCTGCGGCCGACGGCTTGTTTATCGAGAGGGCGGAGAGAGAGAGAGAGAGAGAGTACCTGCCGGCCACCACCCACCACCCTTGTGTGTGTGTATTTGTGCACCTTTATGCAGACGGCCAAGGAGGGGGGAGAGAGGGATGCATGTGTGGGGTGGGTGGGCCAGGCAGTCGCATGGATGGATGGATGGATGGGCTGAGGCCGTCGTCAGGGATGATGAGCCGGATGCCGCTCGTCGGGGACTCCCGAGAGAGCGGGCCTTTTTCACACCACACACACTCACTCAGTCCTCATCTGTGCTGTGCCACTCACTGTGTTGGCATCGCATCTCATCGTATCACATCGCACTTCCCATGACCTGACCTGATGACGCCCACTCACTCCCAGTCCGACACACATCACGTGTGTGTGAGTGTGCCTGTGGGTCTGTGGGCAGGGAGGAGGGGAGGGGGGTAGCACCGTATCGCTGATGGGGTGGGACACAACAGAAGACAGCGCGTGACTCGACTGAGTCGATGCGATGCGTCGGTGTGTCCAAGTGAAGTGAATGGGTGGGTGTAGCTAGCTAGTGTATTTCTGTTGTCCATCAGGCAGGCAGCCAGGCGTGGTGGTGCCTGTTGGCTGCTCGATCGATGGACGGGGCATTTTTCGTGCGTGTGTGCGTGAGCTATGAGAGCGAGAGAGTGAAAGAGAGAGAGAGAGAGAGAGAGATGGTGAGAGAACGAGAGAGGGCGGGCAACCGATGTGATGCGCCAGACAGCATGCGCACACTCGTCACACATGGTGGGTGAGTGGGGGGGTGTGTGTGGATGGATCTAATGCGTATTGTTCCCCTCACATCACACATGTCATCGCATCAGTCAGTGGGTGGAATGGGGAGTGACTGGGTGAGGTGAGGGGGGAGGTGGACGGACGGACGGGGTGTATACCGTACAATCATTGTATGGTTGTGTCGGTGTGTGTGTCGTGTGTGTGAGTGTGACGGTCGCAGACAGACAGACAGACGTACTTCATGGGAGGTCAATGAATCAATCAATCGGCCGCTGTCCACCGCACCACGTTGATGCACATCCACAAGTCATGCGCATGCAGTCAGGCTGACCAACCGGCATGAGCTCCTGACTATGGACGAGATGTCATGGATTTTGTGCGAAGATCGATCAATCCATATCTCGTTAAGGCCGCACGCACACGCCCATCATCGCTTGTCTCGCCGCCGACCCGTTTAGTGTGCATTTGTTATCTCCACTCACTCACTCATCGCACATCATGCAAATTCGTTCGCTCATGCATTCATGCGCATGCAGCAAAATCGCTCGGTGAAAAATACGTGTGGATGGATGGATGGATGGATGTGGCACCAGCTGGCTGCCATCGGTGGACAAAGTCATTTTCCCACTTGGTCAGTCAGTCAGTCAGAGGCAGGGAGACAGACGGCCATTATGCCATCATCACATGCATGTACGCATCACGCTTCGGCAGATTCTATCAGAATGCCTCACACATCGTGATGGACACAGACAAGACGCTCACACATGCAGCAGAGTCACGGCTGCCCCCAATCTCTCTCTCTCTCTCTCTGTGCGTGTGTATGCAGGTGACATATGGATCGGCCCAATCTCTCTCCTCTCCTCTCCTCTCCTCGCCCCGCCCCGCCCCGCCTCGCCCCGCTCACCTCGGCATAGCTAATTGATTTTCGTGTACATCCACTCGCTCTCACACACAGAGAGACAGACGTCTCTCGCTGGCTGCATTCTTCCGTCCCTCAGAGCCTCAAAACAGAACAGACGGACGGGCAGATAGATAGAGCTCTCTCTGGCTACAAAAATCAATAATTGACCCCTCTCCCCTCCTCTCCCCTCTGCTGGCTTCCCCACTTCATGACGCAGACAGACAGACAGACAGTACTAAATGTCAGCACAAGAAACTCCCCCACGGCCATAGTGCCTTGCTTGGCCTCACTGCCCTGCCCGCGTTCAGCCTCATTAATAATTATGTGGGCGGTGGCGACTGCAGTGATGGCGGGTTGGCGGCTGCAGCAGCTACGGCTGCAGCGAGGGCCCCAGGAGGTAACTCCAACAGACTCCGAAAATCGAACCCTACCTGAACACACACGCACACACGCACACACACACACACACACAGAGAGAGATCTTAGTCAATGAATCACACCATAGGTACCTTCAGAGCATCATTCTGGTCGTCGGATCCCCTCTCTCCTCCGTGGCCTCCTGGCCAATCGCCAGCAGCAGCAGCAGCAGCAGCCGAGGGCCCATGCCCATGAAGATGGCTGGCGTCAAAGCCGTCCCCCACCCCTCCCTCCACCCCCATGCGCCTCGGCCGCTTGGTCTGGTCGTAGGGGGGCCAACAGGAAGGGTCGTGCTTGTCGGCGAGCTGGGGGCTGTTGCTGCCGTTATAGCTGCTGCCGCTGACACTCTTGTCGTCCTGCTCGCACGCACCTGACGGCCGGGGTGCATATGGCACTGACGAGAGGCCACGTTGCGGAGACGCCATGGGGCCACCTGCAGCACAGCAACCGATCGATCGACTCATGAATGGTGCGGTGCTGTGTGTCTCACCAGCGAACTGGAAATTCTCCTTGGTGAGGGCGTTGCTGCTGCTCGGGTGTCTGCCGCCGCTTCTCAGGGCATCCTGAGGCCGCTTCCGCCCACCAGCAACCGATGCTGTCCCCTCATCAGGACGCTCCTCATCCAGGGAGCCGCCTTGGGTCTCGCTGTGGGCGGTAGATGCTGCTGCTGTCGCCGGCGCCTTTGCGAGCAGCGCATCGGCAGCAGCGATCTCGTTTTTGGTCGCTTGAAACAGGGCTGGCAGATGCGCGAATTCCGAGCTAGGGGGAGGGTGAGGAGGGGTGGTCCCTGCATCAGGCACACAGACACACACACACACACACACAGAGAGAGAGAGAGAGAGCCGAGAACAAGAGCAGATGAGTGTCTGTCTGTCGGCGTGCGTCGCTGTGTCCCCGGCCCATCGGTACCGAGTGAGAACATGTCGGGCATTGCCATGTCTGGCGGCATCATAAGCCCCGCCATGCTGGCGCCCATTCCCCCTCCACCGGCAGCAGCTGCTGCTGCTGCTGCTGCCGCCGCATGAGTCGCAGGCATCATTCCCTCCGACGCATCAACGCCAGGACCCGTTTGCTGCCCAAATCTGCCGGCCATCTGCTGCATCTGCATTAGGGATCGGGCGTGCTGCTGTGCCAGCCCAGCGCTCAGCACACCACTGAGGAGGGCGGCGCGCATTCTGTCGGTAGAGAAGGGCTGTGGCGAGACAGGGGCGCCCGGCAGTGCTGGGCTGAGGAAGGGCAGCAGGGCCTGGTGCGGGGGGCGGTGGGGGACCTGGTCGCTCTTGGGGGGCGGTGCTTCTGTGGGGTGGGTGGTGTGCACCCCCACGCCGGTGGCCGATGCCGCTGCTGCTGCTGCTGCCCAGGGAAAGATGGCTGACGGGTCTGTGGCTGCGGCCGCTGCTGGTGCAGGTGACTGCTGCATGGCTTCCCATTTGTGCGCGGCGCCTCCCATGCCTCCAATGGCGCCTGGCATGCCCATCATCTGGCCGGGAGCGGGAGGGTTCATTCCCTCAGCAGCAGAGAATGGCGGCATCTGGAGAACGACAGGCAACACATGACATGACACACATGACTGACAGTTGTGTGTGATCGGTCGTCGTCATGTCTGTCATGGTGCGGCGCGCACCGGAGATGACATCCTGAGAAGGTCGGGATGGAGAAATGGCGGCCCGGGGGGGCCGGGGGGCACCTCCTGCGTGTGTGCCGACTGGTGGTGGTGGTGGATGACGGCGGGGGAGGGCTGGGGAGGCGCGGGCATGTGGCCCTGGCCATCCGCAAGACACTCCAGCAGCACGTTGGCGCAGTTGATGCTCGTCGCCGCCTGTGCTGCTGCTGCAGCTGACCTGCACACATGACATGACACACACACCAACATAAGATGCACGTGAACATGAGCTCAGCTCGCTGGGGTGGGAAGGTCGCTCTCTGGTCACATAACATCACATACTCGCTCTCATCCAGCGGGTTGAGCCCCTGCTGCCGGCGCATTCGGTTCAGCTCATCCTGCAGGGCAGGGAACAAACACAGGAACGAACGGACATGTCATAGTCATACGGCTGGCTGCCATTGGATTGGCTGTTGGCGGATCGATGGCTCACTCACCCGAAGCGTCTTGTTTTCCTGCCACAGCTGGGTGATCTGGTCCTGGACGGTGCTGCGAAACTTGCGCATCTCCGCCGCCATCGACGCCAGCCGCTCCTCACTCTCCACCTGACAGACACAGACAGACAGACAGACAGATGCACACGTGCAGTGCCGCGCGTGGGCAATCAATTCTGTCTGTGGTGCGTGCTGACCAGTTTGTCTTGCATGAGGGCAAATGCCTGTGAGACCTCCTTGGTGACCTGTGAGGCCGCCCCGCCCATGTCAGGCACCTTCCGCTGGATCATCCGCAGCATGTACCTAAGCATCGCATCAGACACACATACAGATAAGCATAATGACAGACAGACAGACATGAAGAGAGTGCCGTGCCCCTGCCTGCCCGCCCTGCTTCCACCCACCGTACCTCTGTCCCTTCTTGAAGAGGTCGTTCCGGAACTCGTCGATGCCGTTGGCCGCGGACTCGTTGCGCGTCTTGGTGATCTTGGTGAAGCCATAGTTGTTCAGCTAGAAGCACACACACACACACACACACAGAGAGAGCCAGATGAGGTCGGCATCTGTGTGAGCCCAAGCCCCCCGTGATTGCACGCTTGTGTACCTGTCTGACGAACGATGTGTAGTTGTTGTGTTTGAAGAGGCGGGGCAGCACCGTCTCCGCCAGGGCCGTCGAGTCCTTCACCTGCCACCACCGACCACCACACCCCACCCAGTGCAATCAATCAGTCAACACACAGCAGCCACTCACTGTACTGTGTCGTGTCTACAAGCAGCGCAGGGTCATGCTGCTGGTACGGTACCCACATACCACGATGGCATCCCCGGCTTTGTTCCATGAGATCATATCGCTCCACTGCCCCTCCTCAAGCAAATCGTAAGTCTTGGCCAAAAACCCAGGCACCTGCACAGTACACAACAACAGCACCACACAAGACAGAGAGAGCAGGGCAGAGGATGGGGTGTGATGTGCCTTTGAAAGATCTGGCATCTGCCCTTGTCTTCCTTCTCGCTGTGCTGGGCCTCTGTCGGTTGTGCATCTCACCTGTGACGTGTCAGCCCGCTGCATGGTGGGTGCTCCTGCGCTGTGCCTGCCTCCACTCTCAAGTCCTCTCACCCTGCAGCTGGGTCAGCAGCAGCAGCGGCCGATGAAGGCAATGTGCAGCGAGCTCATCGCTGCATGATGAGGTCGCTATCGCCTCACTGATGCCTCGCCGCAGCAGTGAGGGGAAAATCGTTCAGCAGCGGTTTCAGGGAGCACCCTAGGTGGCCTGACGGCCAAGTCCCCTGTCGTCTGTCCAACATGAAAACACACACCCTAACATGCAACCCGGACACGAAACACGCAGCACGCAGAGGGCAGATGCAGCAGACAGGAGGATATGCAATGCGCTGCGAACGACGGCCACATACAAGCAGGCACACAACGTCGCACACACGCCACCCCAGCAGCAGCTTGAAGGCGGCGTGCGTGCGTGCGTCAGGCACCATGACTCCATACGTAGATACCGCCCATCCCCAGGTGGCCAGCCAGTGCAGATCGCCCAGTCACACACAAACACGCCCTGATAACAACCACGCACGGAGTGCTGGGGGTGCATGAGAGCGCACCGCCGCGGAAAATCGTTCGCCTTGCGATCTCAAAAGCTCGCAGGGAATGGAGGGTTGTTGGCGTGAAATTGTGCCTAAAGGCAGGCCATTGTTGCGTTTGCAAAGGGAAATGGTGCGAAGAATCGGCAGCCCGCACCACAATCGGCCTGTTGCGCCGCGCCCATCGCTTGCCACTCATTAGAGGGCGGTCTGCTGGCCTGCCTCGCCCAGTAGGGGGCCAGTCAGGCCTGTGGTCGGCCCGATGAGTCAGCCAGGCCCTTTGCGAAATGACCACCACAAGACGGAGGCGATGCTCAAGCTCGAGTACGGCAAGAACCTGGCAGGGGGCGGTGACGTCGCCAAGGTGGACGTCCACAACCCCAATCCGCGCATCCGCACCGTCGAGGACCGCAGCAAAGCCGAAGACGAGGGCCAAATCGCAAACCTCAAATTCGGGTCAGTCAGGGAGTGACCCAGGGAGTGCGGTGGTAGAAACAGCGCCCAGTCGGTCTTTGTCTGTGTGTCGTGGTCGTGTCGGTGTGTGTGTGTGTGTCAGGTTGTATGTCAAGACTTGGAACGACCTGCACGGGGCGGAGGCGACGGCGGACAAGCAGCCCAAGGAGGTCGAGATAGCCGCCTACGTCGACGTCAGAGCCTCTGACATCCAGGACTACTGGTGGGGGGGCGAGGCATTTGGCAGTGAGTTGGTCTTCGTTTGCTTGATGGCCTTGTGTGTGTGTGTGTCAGGTGGGTGGCTCCCGTGGTGTCGTTTGAGATATCCTGTAGGGGCACAGACGGCACCTGGAGCAAGAATGCAACTCTGTCGGGCAGCTGGAGCTTCTTCAAAGGTCGACGTGGCACACAATGACAAACACTGCTGGACCACAATTCCCTGTCTGTCTGTCTGTCTGTGTGTCGTTCGGCACCTCTCTCTCTCTCTCTCTCTCTCTCTCGTTGGTTCAGGCAGTCTGTCGCGCGGGTGGTCTCCCCTGCTGAAGGCGAGCAGCATCATCAAGGAGGGTGTGCTCAACATGGAGGACAAGACCATCATGATCAAATGCACCGCCAGACCGCTCTTCCAGACGCTCTGGACACCTGACCCACGGTAAGGGCCGTCCATCCGTCCATCAAGGACACGGCACGACAGCCACTTTGCGGCCTTGACTCACTCCTTTGGCAGGTATCGGCCTTACCTGGCGTGGGCGGTGCATCCCAACATCTTCGCCGCCACCGACCCCGTCGACGGCAGTGGGAACCAGACCACCACCACCCCCTGCACCGACGTGCAGCTCCCCGATGATCACCCGTACATCGTCCCTGCGCTGCGGGTGCCCTTCGACTGCACCTTCGCCACGGCCTTCCTGCACATCCTCTTCCACCTCAAGCCGATCACCCTGCATCTCCTGGCGTGGCGGGCACAGAAGAGCCGCGGGGCGCAGTGCGGTGCTCCTGGCGGAGGATCCTCCCTCTCTCCCTCTCCGCCGTCGGGCAACACCAGGCGGCGGGAATGGACGGCAGCCTCAGCCACAACCGCCGCACCATCTGCAGCAGCACACCAGACCACCGCCACCAGCAGCAGCAGCGGCGGGGGTCCCTCCCTGCCGCGCGACGAGGACAGGATCACGATGATGTCGACGCTTCAGTCGTTCTTCGCCGAGCTGTACCTGCAGGTGTGGGTGCAGTCACTGCAGGGCATCGGGCCGGAGGAGGCGTGGCGGGACGAGAGGGACAGGAGCTGCGGCCGGGCGGCGGCTGGGTCTGGTGCTGGGTTGGTGCGGCTGGAGGGGTTCGAGCGGAGCATCAACCAGCAGACGGCTGGGCAGATGGGCCTGAAGGACCTGGAGGGACAGATGGGCATGGCACAGCCGAAGATGCCCGCGCCCACGGCACTGCTGTAGGCGCACCCACACCCACACCCACACACACATGCACTCGCCCACCGTCTTCGTGTGTGTATGTGTGTGTGTTGTGGTGTGTGTAGGTATGCGTTGGCGGCTGATCAGCCTGAGCGTGCGGTGCAGGACATCATTGAGAACTTCAACCCAGCGGAAGAGATCATCGCAGAGCGGGGGAGTGACTCAGGCGGTACGTCAGCCACGTGCAGTCCATCCATCCGACCATCGGTGTGTGTGTGTGTGTGTCCCTGTGTGTGTGTCCCTGTGTGTGTGTGTGTGTGTGTGGTTATGTCAAGGTGGGAAGGCCAAAAGCTGGTGCAAGGTGACGACAGACCTGCTGACTAGACTCAGCGGATCCCTCAAGCAGGACAAACAGGCACCCACACACAGACAGACACATGGACAGACGCCACGACGGTGTGTGTTGTGGTGTGGTGTGGTGTGACTGGACAGGGGAGCCGCGACTCGTCTGCTCAGGTGATGGCCATCTTCAAGTACCTCTTCTCGACTTCTTACAATGACAAAGGGTGAGGGGCGGTGCGATGCATTCCACCACACACACACACACACACACATGCACGCAAGAAGAAAGAAGATCTCTTTGTGTCGGTGGGTCGGTGGGTCGGTCGGCCCTTTGTTGTGTGTCATTATTCAGGGGGTTGGATGACTTCGCCAAGGTGCCCATCCGGCTGTCCCACCCTTCCCGCGACCGCACGCCGGACAAGGGTACCGGTGGGCAGGCACCCGCACCCAAAATCACCAGAATTCCCGACTGGATCGAGGTAAGCAACCATCGCCACACGCGCACCGTCCATCCACACACCACACTTGTATGTCATCCATCACCCACCCACCCTTTCAGGACAGCGATCGCAAGCTGGACCGTCTGGCGCCCGTGATGCTGCTTTTCCCCACCTACAAGGACCTCACCAAGGGCGACGAGGGCCTGCACGAGATACCCTTGGCCGCTGACCTCTCTGGACTCTTACGCAAGAAGGACAACAGTGACAGCAGTGGCGACAAGGAGAAGGAGAGGCCAGCGGAGTCAGAATCAGCAGCAGCTGCTGCTGCTGGTGGGGCGGTGGCGGGTGACCGGCCGCCCGACACACGGACGCTCCGGCGGTGGGAGGAGACCTGCAGACTCAAAGAGGCGCGGCGGGCGGCCGCAGACACCGATGGGGGTGGAGAGGCCAACGGCATCGAAGAGACCCCCACAGGTACCACCTCTTTGTGAGAAGCCCACACACACCTGACAAATAGACAGACCCTTCCCTTGTCTGTCTTTGCCTTCAGTATCATCTGTCGGCGTGTCCTGCCCCTCGCGGCCAGACGACCCCAAGTGGGAGCCACAGCCGCACCAACAGCCACAGCCACAGCCACAGCAGCAGGCGGCAGCGGCATCAACACCGGCATCTGCAACATCCACCCCCGCAAAGAAGCCACCTGGCGGCGGTGGCGGCAGCGGCGGCAAGGGCAAGCAGTCCAAGGGACGCAACAGGCCTGCCGAGCCTCCGCCCACCGAGCACAAGGACGACCCGCCGGACAGCCCGCCGCCACAAGCCGCCGATGCCGCCAGCAGTGCTGCCAAGCATGACGCCGAGGCATCCACCGACAGCAATGGCACCGCTGACGGCGTGGACAAGGGTGGTGGTGGTGGCAGCGGGGCGGCGGCCGGCTGTAAGCCGACGCACGACCTGTTTGCGATGATAGTGCAGGAGACGCCGCGGATACCGACGAAGAAGGTCGATGGGGCCGAGAGGGGCAAGATAGAGACCCATATCAGCGTCGTCATCAGGCCCGTGCAGGTCAGGTGCCAGACAGGATGCGAGAGGGAGGCGTGGGAAGCAAGAAGAGGGCAGAGAATACGGCTGTCTGTGCTGTGTCTGTGTGTGTGTGTGTAGAATGGTCCATGGTTCCGTGTGCTTGACGGCGGTGTGGAGGAGTTGCGTGTGGTGAAGGACCGGGTGTTCCCCAGCGAGTGGAAAATGAACGAACACTTCTACTGCGCCGTCGCCGTGTACGTCAACGTACGCACACAAACACAAACACACAGACACAGACACACAGGCACAGGGACAGGGACATCTCCGCGTGTGTTTCTGTCTGTCTGTCTGTCTATATGTCTTCCTTCCAGGCTGACTTGTGGAGTCTGCAGAATCGCATCGCTATCGCTCCGCCTGACATAGAAGCCATCAACACCGGGTGTGCATCCCACCACACACACACAGACAGAGAGAGAGGGGGGGAGAGAGAGAAAGAGAGAGAGAGAGAGAGACGCATTGGCCATGGTGTTCTCTCTCCAGGTTGTTCCAGCACCACATGCGTCTGCTGACAGGGTGCAGTGCCCTCCCCCAGCTGTACCCGACCATCAGCCGCTGCCTCTACCCCGCCCCGCCCCCTGCATCCGCCACACAGCTCACCCTGCGGGCCTCACCCCCTCCCCTGCTCCCCGGCCTCTCCACACACGGCATGCTCCTCGAGCAGAGCCTCCCGCGCGACTTGAGGGGCTTGTCGATGTACCAGTGGCTGACGCCGATCCCCTTCGCCCCGCCACTGGACGCATGGCAGGACATATTCGCCTTCTGCATCACGTCGCTCTTCATGGCAGGGAGCAGGGCGGGGGGCTCGGCGGGGGCGGTGCTGGAGAAGCGGCGGGACTTCTTTGAGGAGTGCTTGATGGAGTATGCGCAGCGGCTTATCATAGGTCCGTCCACACCTTCATCACTGTTT